TCCCTACACATCCCTGTACCTTGATTTTTTTGGAGGTACCTGGCTCTCTATCAAATAAGCGCAGACATGTAAGTGGAGGTGGACCTTCTGAATTCACCAACGTTTGGCTTCTCTGCATGGCCTTGGGGCTGGAGGTCCAGCCCAGGAGCAGAGCTGCTGCTGTGGCTCTGCCACAGGTCCAGCAAATTCTGCTCTTACAGAGACATAGGGTGAAAGGAGGGGATCCCTGTGGGTTGGTTTATCTTCCAGTTACCAGTTACCATCAGAGGCCAACTGGTGCAATCCAGCTCATGCCCATGTTCCCAGATTGTATCTCCTGCCTTGAAAGAGGTTGCTGCATCCATGCTGCATGTTAAGAAGAATCCCAGATATGTGCTATTGGCCAAATCGTGCCTGCACGTTGTCCCAGAGGGTGCTGGAGGATCACGGCAAACGCTTACTAGTTAACAGCATCAAGGGTTACAGGATGGTGTTCAAACCAGTGCCCCATCTTGTTCACAGCATAGCTCCTGTCATCCTGGTGCTGGATACTCCTTGTAATTGCCCAGCAACATTCATCAAACCTGTCAGGAGCCCGGAGCCCCTTGCAGAAATTCCTCTTCATCCTCCCTCTTCTCTTCCCCTGCAGGCTTCAGGCACAGAGACCAGCTGGAAATGTCCCAAACGAGTGCCGAACAACGCAGATACAAAGTCGGCTTCCTCCTTCGCCAAGCTCCACTTCTCTTCCTCCACGGAGCAGCTCACGAAGGTCCAGCTGTGCATCCCCTCGGAGCCCTGTCCTTCCTTCAAGAAACCCCAGTGCTTCCCCCAGAAGTCAGCTGCCGCCTCGGAAGGAAAGTCCTTCTCCCTGCCGACAGCATAAGCCAGGGACTGCTCTTCAGCGAGTTCCTCCTTCCCCCCGACCTCAGCCCCCAGCTCAGGCCCTGGGTCCGACAGGAGATTCCCTGCCCTCTCCTGGTGTGGCCAAAAAACGACAAAGAGGAAAAACCCAGACTCAGGGTCCAGCAACCAAAGGAAAGCAGGTGTCCCTGGAAAGTAAGGCAGCTGCCAGATAATGATCTTCTTTTGCCAGCCCAACAGACTGGGTAACTTCTGCATATAGTATACACTTGAGATGCTGCAGCACAGCCTTCCATGCTGGACCCACGAGTGTATAGCAGTAGCTGTACTTCAATGCTTCACTCACTCTCACCCCACACCGTCACAATCAGCTCCCATGGGCCTGAGAGCCTCTGAGCCACGGAGCCTTCTTCAAGGGAGACATCCAGCCCGCAGCTCACGCTTGCTAACGCACAGCACCAAGCAGTGACCCAGGCAGCCTGCCTAGTGCCTGACCCTCCTCCCTCCCCAGGCATTCCCCTCTCTCTGTTAGCAATACCAGTTGCCAACACCGACCCTGGCTTTGGGAAGGGGAGCAGAGGTGATGAGAGCAAGGCCTGCTGGAGAGGAAGGCTCCTGTCCTGCAGGCAGCTCCCTCCTCTCTCCTTGCTGGGGAAACGCCAGCCTTGGCCACCACCATCTACCTGAGTGTTGGCTCGCCTCCTGCCACCTATGTTAGCAAGGGATTGTCACCAGCTTAGCCAAGAGGGATGGATGCATCCCTGTGCGCTAAGAGCAGGGGCAGGGTGGAGGGGGCTCTTCTTTCCAGAGATGCCTCTGCAGGTGGGAATGGGAGACAGGCAGGTCTTGCTGGATGCTCCTACCTGCTCCAGTATGTCCCGCAGAGGAGGCCATCTGGCATTGCTGCTCAGCGACGCTGCTGCTGTTTCAGCCGATGCCTGTGTGGTGGGTATTTAGATAGAAGTAGGGATGTATTGGCAGCTTGCTGGGAAATCGAGAGCGCTTGCTAATTGATGTAGAAGGGAGCACGCTGCAGCCGCTTCTGTCTCAAATACCAAACTGTGATCTGTGGAGACCACATCTCCCAACATGGGTGGTTCCTCTTGACCTGAGTGTGGTTGGTGCCACAGACCCGTAGTCCACCAAACACAGCTCCATCCTGAAGATGTGAATAGTCACTGGATGCCTTTAGCTTGGGTGCCCCTTGCACCTAAATTCCTTGTGCTTTATTGTCATGCTCTTGGTGTTTGTGAATTTTGGCACTGTGGTTGAAAGTTCCCCTACACAGCAGGGTGGGAAATTATTATCCTGTAGTATACTCAAAAGCTGCTGCTTTGCGAGGGAGAGGTTTGCGGGCACGCCGTGGGTACCTTGCGCATTTCTATCTGAGAGTACAGTGGGTTGAGTTGCAGAGGTTGGGCTTACGTCTTTCTCGGTGCTCAGCTCTTCCACACATTGCGTGAGAACTAACAATGTGAACATAATAGCAAGGGCTGTGCTCTTCAAGTAATATTATCAGAGCAGAAGCTTAGCACTCAGCTAGAACTAAATCAACCAACTTTTTAGCCCCCAGACTAATTAGGAAGGTTTGAAAATGAAAGCCAGGAGGACTGATACCTGTCTGAACTTGATGAGATCTTGAAGTAGTCACAAATTTTTCCCCGCGCCTCACAGGGGGAAACACTCCAGACCCGAATACTTTGGGTTTCACACTATTGTCATGCCTAAAAGAGGCTTTGCATGAGGCAGAACAAAAATACAGCTGCTCTGTACACCCATTCCTGCAGCTGCAACTAGCTGCACATATTTACTATTTGCAGACAACAAAGCTTGATAGAGGAATCTGGACAGTAATAACCTTGATTAATCTGAACATAGATACAAACAGTCACACTGATGGCTGTCGAGTCCGAGGAATCCTGAAGTTGTTCACATCTACAGGAATTGTTCTGGGAAGGAACATGAGAGCTGTGATGGTGTGGCTGGGAGCACAGGGTATTCCTTGGACATCCAAACAGGGAAACATCTAGAAATAGGTGACAGGAATTACCTCTTTATATGACAGTCTCAATGTTGCCAATGCTAAGAATTTATTTCATCTAGCTCAAAGTGTTTGGTGTTTTCCATTGACATTGTTCACCCTGGTAGAGTAAGAAGCACAGCTTCTAGTCTAAAAACATGCCCTCATCTTTGCAGAGAAGCATTGGGAAATCCAAGGTCAGGTTTGGTTTGATGGACTGAGCTGATGTTGCCACCAAAAGCAGTGGTCCCTCCAAGTTCCAGCTGCTTCGTTACACTGTCCCACCCCCCTTACACCGGGGCAGCTATTTGGTGAAGTGGCTGGAAATGCTGATCCAGCAAGACACCAAGCGCTCTGGTTTGCTGGTTTGGTTTTCATCTGCTTCAGTTCATCAGTCTGGCTCAGCATTAGGTCACACAACAGAAGTAGGGGAAGGAGAGGACAGAGAGTGCAACTACTTCTGGTAGCACTGTAACTTCATGTGAGTTTGAAGTGTGGGTCAAACTACAACCTAAATATGCCCTGTATGTTTAGAAACTAGAAAACAGAATAAACCCAAATAGATTCTTTCCGGAAGTATAAACCGTAATGGCACTCCTGTTAATTTGTTGGGGTACTATTCATTTTAGAGTGCTCAGATGGTAAGACTTTGTCATGAAGCCTTTACCAGATGCTCCATCCAGGTCTTAGATGCTCATGCCAAAAATGACATTGAAAGAGCTTGGAAGGAGGGCTACAGGACTATTAACAGGGTTAGCAAATCTGCTTTATCATGGGTGGCCAACAAAGCGCAATGTATTTGTTCAAGAGAAAGTTTAAAGGGGAGTTTTCCATGGCCCAGCTATACCTGTGTCAGGAAGGAAGCTCCGGGGCAGAGATCTTCCATCTGGCACACGAAAGCAGGGAAGACAGAGTAGCTGAGAATGGCAGATGAAGAAATCAAGCAGGCTTTTAGTTGTGAAGCAACTGTCCAGTAAAATCTTTCCCAGGAATGTGCGGACATTTTCTTATTAAAAGGTTTTCTGAGAAATCTAGTTGTCTTCTAAGAGGTCTTCCTACCATGACCCAACCACAAGTAGCAGGCAGGATGCTGGTGACACCAAAGTATCATCTCTCTTTGTGGTGCAGTAGATTCCTGCTCCTGCCAGACACATTCCAAAGCTGTCACATATTGGAGAGCCACCAGACAGGTCCCGCAGGTTTCAGAAAGCCGGTGAAAGATTTCCAGCACAGAAGATAACAGCCATTCCCAGTGTTGTTTGACAGGGCTGGGCTGAGGGTGCAGCTGGGTCCACAGAGATCTGGGACTGGCATGAGTTGTCTCTCCCTGTGGTTGTGCTACCAGCCTCCCTGCCCCAGCACAGCCCTGCTTCCCAGCTGTCCCTGGCACGGAGGGGAGCAGGGGAGTGCATCAATGACATGGTGCTCCCCCGGTCATTTTGGATGAGAGCGGGCTGCAACGTCAGGTGCGATGGCACCAAAAGTTGGCTGACTGCAGCGATGCTTTCTCCCCAGAGAGCCTGCTCAGGAGCTGCCGGGCACTGTCACTGAAAGATTTCTAAGGGTTGTTCCTGCAAGGCCTGACTGTCCCCATGTATCCCACAGGTTTGGGTCTCTGGACCTGCTCCCCTTCCCAGTGGCAAGCTATACTGTGATCTTGGCTGGATGTCACATTGCCTCTTTCATGCTTTTGCTGAAGTTATTTTTACAGGAGCTTCAGTGCTGGGGTCTTCCAGTCAAGTGGATATCAAGAATTTGCTAACGCAAGGTGGTCCTTAGAGCCGCATTTTGCTGGCAGAGCCGGTCACAGGGCGCTGCCTGGCCCAGGCATGCTCATAAGCCCCTCGTTAGCAGCCCACGTGCTGCAGGAGGTGATGTCTTGATCCCTCTTTCAGGTGTCAGCAGAGGGATTCGGGAAAGCCCCTGCCATGCGGATGCTGCTCTGGATCCCCTCCCTGGCTCTGATTTTCAAGATTCCACCCTTCAATTGCTCAATGGTGAGTGTGACCCCAGGGTGCTCCTGTCACTGGGGTGCTCAGTACACCCTGGTTGCAGAAGTTCCCATTCCTCTTGCGTGTCTCCCTGGAGGGATTTTCTGGCAGGCAGGTGACCAGCAGTGATGCTCTCTGCTAGTGCTGCTGTGAAAACAGCCCTGCAAAAGGGTCAACAACTCCTCTGGGTCCCCTCATCCTCTCTTCTTCCTCTACCCTGCAGAGGGGCTGGAAGGGCACCTGCCATAGTTGGAGCAAACACGGGAGATCATGTTTGGGGGCAGGAGGGGATGAGGCTTGTGATGTTAGGGAGAAGCTAGGTCGTTGAGGGATGCCAGATGGTCCAGTCAGGCATCACAGGACATGGTGGGCTGTCACATCCCAGAAAGGCAGGAGAGGCAAGACCTTGCTGTTCTCTGCCATGAAACATGGTGTGCAAGCTCTGTCAAGTCTCGAGGACACACAGGGCTGCTCAAACACTGCTACTGGTGTGTGGCTGCGTCCTTGCTTCACTGCAAAGAAGAGAAGATGGAAGAGAAGATCAAGCTGACCAGAGCAGAGGAAATGGCTAGGAAGAATACAGAAAATTGTTTGGGGTCAAGGGAGAAGAAGCAGGCTTCCCAGCACTTTCCCATGTTTGCAGGAATTTCTGGGAACAGCCTGACACTATGCGGTTCCCCATCAGTGTCTTCGCTGTGGGGTCTGTCCTGGCCAGCTGCAGATGTTTGTGCCCATGTGTGTTTTGAGGGGACTCCTGGGACAGGCTGCCACCGTGCCTGCATCTGTGCGTGCATGTGGATGGGTGGTAGGAATGGACAGGACTTGTTCAGGGGAGCGTTGTGGGGTCCTGTGTGTGTTGGCAGTGTAAGTGTCTTTGGGACTGTGTGGTATCATGAGATAAAGCAAACTGTGCTGAGAGTCTTTGCTTTGCTGTGGTCTGTGAAGGTCCTGCCTGCTTTCTTGTCTACCAGCTGAGAAGATGGCATGCTGGCTGGTAAAAATGAGTCAATGGCTGCTGTCTGGCCAGGAGACATTTGCAAAGAAACGGGGATACGGGGGGAATGCGCCAAGTGGTGAATCTGAAAGACAGTTCTCATCACTAAGCCAGTGTGATGACAGGTTATGTGAGCAGAGGGAACAAAAGGACTGATGGCACCTGTCAGCCTAATGCCGTGGAGGGGCTTGAACACATGGATGGGGCTGC